TAGCTAAATATTTAAGTTGCAACTTAAATATTTAGCTAGCTAGCTAAATATTTAGCTTTAAACTTAAATATTTAGCTTGTTGTATGAATCATATGGTGAAAAACTGACTTTGAAAAATAAATCTGTTCTTTTTTTTCTTATAAAAGGCTAAATAAAACAAAAATATTGGTGGTAATTTTTGACTGTGTAACTTTACAAACGGCACCCCATAAGCAGACTATAAAACATTGCTTTCAGGAATGCTGGGCCTTTAATGTCAGTGGAGTATTTCTTTTAAAATCAACTTCTTCCATTCATAAATACCTAAACAGCAATTAAAAATGACGCCTGCTGCTGTGCACTCGATGGCAGCACAAGCCGTAGGTTTGAGGGATTGGAACAAGACTGCTGCATGCACAGTGGGAGCTACCTGAGAGGACAAACTACAGTACCACCCGTTGAACGCGAGGGGGCAGACCAAACATTTGATATTAAGAAAAAAAAACAGCTCTGAAATGAAGACAGCAGGTTTTGGGGTTGAGAGCCATGCCAAACAGGAAAAAAAAATGAAAAACTGCACAGGAACCAAAAAGATATGAAGTGACAGAGATGTAACACGTGGAGATACTGTACAACAGAGGAAAGGGAAGGGAGAGGAGAAGCAAAAAAAGACTTACTCGATGTCTATACGGCTGAGAGTATATCTCCAAAAGTTGATAAAAGAAGGAAAAAAAAAAGGAAATATAGAAACAAAAGATAGAAACACACACACATGACAAACAAACAAATAAAAAAACATATATAAAAGAAGCTGTTAGCTGAAAATGACTGCATGATGCTGCACAGTTGTAGTCATGGGGGAGCATTTGTATTACTGATGGTGTTGAAAAACAAAACAAAAGATAAAGCAGAGAGCATTACAAACAGTTTTACCACTAGTTAGAACTACAACCCCAAATCCAATGAAGTTGGGATGTTGTGTAAAACATAAATAACAGAATATAATGTTCAATTGAATAGACGTTGAAAAGAATTTACAAATCATCATATTCTGTTTACACAATGTCCCAGTTTCATTGGAATTGCGATTGTAACAATGCATAAATTTATTCACATAGTTCAAACTTTCTTATATAAGTTGCAAAAACAACATCAGTACAGGGGGAAAACAATAGGTATTTTGTGAGTATTTCTTTTAACTAAATACCACTTTAATAATGCAGCTACCAGGATGCATGTAAAAGGCTGCACCTAATGAAAATTTAATTCTAAATGTTTCTATTTTTATCCCAGTGATATAATAAAAGGACAAGTAGTTTAGCAGCATGTAAAAAAATACATTAAAAAATCAGCAAGGCAGAAAATCTTCTGGGACAACAGTCAAACAAGTTAAGACCTGCATCTCTTTCTCCTGGAAAAAAAAGGAGCTTGAGAGGTTAAATAGTGTTCTGACTAAATTAAATATTAACTACATTAATTTTCCTCTCTTTGCTTTGGCACTACACGACTCTTGTTAGACATCGGAAGCAGAGAAAGGCACAGTGACTCACTAAATGTTGTGTGGGTTTCAAGAAAAGAATAGAAAAGGTGGAATTTATATTTAAGTAAATGTAAATGTTAGTATTAATAAAGAAAGCAATGTAAAAATGTGTATGAATAATAAAAAGGCTTCGTGTTTTAGCTTTTATATACAGCGGGTAAAATAAGTATTGAAAACGTCAACATTTTTCTCAGTAAATATATTACTAGAGGTGCTAATGACATGAAATTTTCACCAGATGTTGGTAACAACCCAAGTGATCCATACATACAAAGAAATCAAACC